CACTGCTACACTCCGGCGAACATATATATAGAGAATAACTAATATACATCATGATGCGTATTGGATGTTTCTATTCTCTTACCAGGCTGCGCAGGGTTCGCAACACTCTCAATTATATGGGTCTGCATGATGGTTTAGCTCTTATGCCATTTCTCGTGAATACAGTCAACGCGCTTTTACTTTAACGGTGCTCGTTGTGCAATATTCATGTACATAGCGTCTCGTCTCTGTGCGTGTTGCATACATTGCCGAGCAAAAATTATCCGTAACTTTTGCACGCAATACGTAGCCTATGAATCCTACTTCTAAGGTGTGTAGATGAGTAATGCTACAAATTCCATCTATGGAAGTGTGGCATTGTAAGATTAATAACATTCAAGTAAAGTGATTCGTATATGATGAATATTAATAGGAGTCAATGTATACAGCTTTCTATTTATTTCATTAAAGAATATTAATATCTATATGTAAGGGATTTGAAATGTAATAGTAATTATTGTTCTAATATAACTCTGAAGTGAGTTACTCCGGTGTGCATGTTTCGACATAAGGATTTTATCTTTTTTGGTGAGGTTCGAACAAGTAATGTTGAGAAGTTGTCCCAAATGAATGCCTATAATTCACTTTATTATGAAGATAGAAATAGGACTTTCAACCGTGTCATTTTTAAATAAAATTGTAATGAGATGTATTCGCTTTTAAATGTGTGCAAGTCGTTTATTAGATTTAAGGCAATGTATCTAACAATTCAAAGACATGCGATTAAAGATATAACTTACGATGTTATTTTCTTTTATTGCGATTCTTATAATGTAATAAGAAGTGTGCGCAATTAGATCGATTTAACTCTTATTAAGTTGCTTTGTTTGATATATAGATATTTTGGTTATAGAAATTATACATATTGCACATCAAAGTTGTTCGATATGTAATCCCTATAAAAAGTCAATTCATATTAAGCAAAGGCAGTACTCGTGAATGATCGTATGCCGATCTAACATTCAATTATCCGCTTTTCCTGTGAAGGATATATTTTTCGATGGTTAAAGGGATGGCATTGTAAATGAAGCGTCTAGCTGAACTCGTACACCTCAGGTTGTTGATGGTTTGATTAATTAATGACTGTATTTGAGCTTTCGAGCTCGAGAGCTGTACATTTATTTGAGTTGAATTTTTGATTGATCGTTGTGTTGAACAAGTGCATTTCGGTCTCTGCGATATTATTATTACGTGAAAAGAACACTATTATATTAAAATTGAGAAATTAATTAATAAGATACGCAAAATAAGACCAAAAGATAGATACCGAAGAATTAAAAGAATGAAATATGCAGCAAATAATGAAAATTGAAATCGATATTTAAGAAACATTAAAAAAAGCTGAGAGTATGATTGTTATTTAATAGATTAATGTTGTAACAAAATTTATATTACTTATGGTAGTGTTCAAATCTAAGTTCTATTAGTCAAATAAACATGGTTCCTTTGTGTAGATGTAATGATTATATCTTTAAATATGAGGTAAACAACTAAATGATGGCTCACAATATTCTAGTGTTCTCAGCTGGCTTAAGTCTTTGCTCGTTAGCTATTTGGAGCTCAGAGTATCCGTAGAAATTATCATTTAAAAGGTGAAGACATGAGTCGACGAGCTATATGGAGCTTTAACTTGATTAGTGTACTTCGTTTGACGGACGAACTTTTTATTGCTTTAAATAACTTTTTTTTTTACTTGAAATTCTAGTATTAAGAAGCAATAAAATATCACAACGAAATCACAACGGACTGTTGTTTGATTTTCTAACAGAGCACCTTAATCCACATTCAGAGCTTCCGGTTTGGACGTGCTTCCACTCTTTGCCATAGAAGTTAAACGCGTTATTAGATATGAATATACATATATAATAACCTTTGTAATTAAAACTGCTTTTAAAAAGAAGACAACGTGACTGTTGTAGAAAAGAACCATGTGCAAATACGAGAAGAACTGTACAAGTATGAGTAAAAATGAGCATAGTATTATGCAGCGATTTTTTTCTCTAACAGCACTCTTCCTGAGTTCATTAATGGAGGGACCCTCCTCAACCTCTACGGGAGCAGGTGCCACTGACCTACAGAACCTGACATAGTATCTTCATCTTCTTCATTCTTTCCTCTCATTCAAGCAATAATGAATCACTCTACATCAAGCCTCAACACTCAATTAGGAGAATCATGCGACTCCTCTATTTAATAAGATATATATGCAGAGGAGGAATTCGAGTATGAGATATAGAACCAGAATAATTTAAGCAGGGGTCAATCCATCTTATAATAGTTCAAGTCGTAATTGAGACTCATGAAATGTCAGATATGCATTATGCAACGCCTTAAAATGAGTTGCATAGACTTATTTTAGAACCCTTTGCGCATGAAAAGAAAACTGGTTCATGAATGAAGATTATTTATTGCATGATCATATAATGTTAGTTTATTCATTGATGTTCTGCTGGGAATGCCCCCACGACGTTGTGATCATAAGCTCAATTAATTAAACTAATGTGAAATGAGGATATTGAGCTGCCACATATCTATAGATGCTTATCGATTATTCTGTATGAGGCTGGTCTTTATTTTCACTTATCTTGAACTAAGGGTTAGCTCATTAGTTAGACTAACATTTTAAGGTTCATATAGTTATTTTTTTATTTAATGTAATTTTATTGTTTTTTTTTGTGTTTAATTATGTTTGTCTCTTGGAATTTCCAAACCGGCTTTTTGGAATTCCAAGATGTGTTGTTTCCCATGCCGTGGCTTCCTTGGCTTCCACCATGGCTGCTTTTTTCGTGCTTTGCTCCTTGGATTCTGGTTTCCGCCTGGACTGCTGGTTTTTCCCGGAGCCTGGTGTTTTCTGTGGTGTGGCGGCCTTGGGTTCCGTGTGGCCTCCTTGCTCCCGTGGTTGTCCCTTTGTTCTTGAGCTTGGGCTTTTTCCCGTGAAGCTGGGGATTTCATGCTTGTGATGTTTTGGGTTTCTGTGAGAATTCAATGTTTGTTGCTTTTGGTATTCCCCTTTCATTACCTATTAAATATGAGGGCTTGTTATGGGGCTTTGTTATGTTTAAAGTTAGTGAAATTATGTTATTTTTGAAAAAGCTATACCTGCGGGTTTTGCTTGGAAAAGAGCTTGCGAGCTTTGTCCGTCTTCTTTCTCACCATCCCCTCTCGAAATTTCTTGCGAGCTCTTTCCAACCTTTCGTCTCGGCTTTCTAATCTCTTTCGTCTCCGCAAGTGCCACTCCACCTGTATCCCTCTTCTAATTGTGAAGCAATTTTAGGGGTTCATTTTGTTTGCTAGTCGTTTTAAATTTTAAAAAGTTGTAAGTCTTTTATTTCTAAGTTTATTTTAGGATTGAATGTAGGATTTTGTTCTAATATCTCTAAGTGATTCCCTTCTTTTTTGTGTTTCTTTTGGGTTGTCTATATGTGGGTTCAAGAGATATATAGGCCCCTGCCCACTGTATTTTTTTAAACGCCCCCCGGTATTTTTTTGCCCGCATCAATACAGCAATTGATTCCTTTCATTTTTTAATGCAGGAATTAAGAGAGCGCATAAAGCCATATTTCTTACGACGTTTGAAAAGTGAGGTATTTTTTTCAGTTGATGCAGCTAACAGTGCAAAGCTTTCTAAGAAGAATGAGATAATTGTTTGGTTAAAGTTGGCATCAGTTCAGGTACTATTTTACTGCAATAATCCCATGATTTTAGATTCTCATTGTTATAGTTAAATTTTATAGAAAAATTGACATTATGAACATAGGTAGATGAGCTTGAATTTTTTGTTGGCAGAGGCAACTCTATGAAGCTTTCCTGAAGAGTGAAATGGTTCATTCATCTGTTAGAGGTTCACCATTGGCTGCAATAACGGTAAGGATATAGTTCTAATTTTTAATTATATATTAATAGTGGATTCTATTATTTAACTACATGCTATCTCCCACTTTATTCCTAAGTCATCATGTAGGATTATTTTAATCCACACTTGTTTATAGATTTCTTAGACCATTGCATGAAATTCAACTTTATCTCTTTATATGGAGACAAATAGTTGTTTCCTGATTCTCCAAGTGATAAGGTTTTCTCCTAGGAAGGTACCATAGCTAATAATAGATTTCTTATGTATGTTATCTCCTGTCCGATCTTTATTTATGTATGCTTTTGTATTCTTTCTAAATAAGATTCATTCTTTTGAATTTTTTTAAGGTACCAAAGAGTTTTATATGTGGCCTATAAATAAAATTATTTAGGTTCACATGTGTACTGGCTTATAACACTTATGTTTTAGGCTATATCCAACTTTGTGCTGGCAAGATAAATAAGCTTCCTAATTAGTCTTTGATATCTTTCATTGTAAACTTATGGTTTGCTTAAGTTTTTTTATTTTTTCGGGTATATTTTATAAGAAGAGAATTTAATTGTAGTGTTTGTCATGTGGTATGTTGTTTCAAAGTCTATTAATCATATTCCATCAGAAGCATTGTGGGCTTCGAAATTTTGTGCCCCGACCTCTTCGCGCCTCTTTCTTTGACGTGGAGAGTTTTAATGAGTTTATATTATGGGGTAAATTTTTATAAGACAGATTGGGTTATTGAGAAGACACTACCCAGAGATTTCGCCCTCATTTTGCGAGGATTTTATGATATGATTTCTGGTTTCCCATAGGCGCAAGCCCCTATTGTTAATTATCCCTCCCGATAACGAGAGAGAATTTTCGATTAAGGCTAGTTGTTAAACAAGTCACAATAAGAAGCTAGTGTATAATAACAACAATTTTTGGGTTTGAATTTTAGATTTCATGATTTGAAATTCATCACTATAAATTCAAAACGGGTGATGATGGGGGAATGGTGACAAGCTCGATCAAGATCTCATTGCTTCGTCATCCTAGGTTGTCATAGCCTAAAAGCTAAAGGTAACACCCATTTCATTTGCCTCAAAGCTATAGGTTTCATCTAATTTCCTCCATCCATCTAATTTCCTCCAACCTCAAGTTTGTTGACCTGCTATGTCGTGCAAACAAAACAAAGAAAAAAAAATCAAAATAAAATGCCTTACCTGCCGCCCCACGTCGCACGATCCAGCGCCGCCCGTCGCACGTTGAGGCCATACCGAGCGTCGCGTCTCGCACGTCGCTCGCACGACTCGTTCGAGTCATTAAAAGGCCGAAGGTACGAGGCCTTTGGCCTCCTCTCGCGTCCGCTCTTCTCTTCCGCCACTTCTCCTCCTTCGTTTCTGTTCGGCTTCGTAACTTCGCAGAAGGTGTAGAGATTGCAAACGTCGCTGCTTCGGCTCCTTTGCTGGTTCGACTTCGCACCTTCCCCGACTTTCCCTTCCAGTAGGATCAGATGTTACGCAGTTTGGTCGGAAGCAATGGACGTAGCTCACTCGCTGTGAGGAAACATTCTTCCGTTGGCGTCGCTCCTCCGGCACCTCCGTGGCTATTCGACGACTCTCCCTTCCCTGCGGATCGAAAGTTAACATTTTGATCGGAAGCATCAACAGGAGCTCGCTGGTGAGGAAGGTAACTTTCACCTTCCACGTGCTTCTTTGGCCAAATCCCGTAAATCCGGCCGAACCATGAGAGGGGGGGAGGGTTTAATTTTTACTTTATTTATTATTATTAATTATTTTAATCATTATTTAATTATGATAATAATTAATTAATTATAATTAATTAATGTTTAGTAATTAATTACTGATTATAATTGATTGATATTAATCAATTATAATTATAATTAAATTTACTAATTATAATTAATTAATAATTAGTTATTAGTTATTATTATAATTATTTAATTATTATCATAATTAATAATTAGTTATTAATTACAATTAATGTTTGCAAATGCTCCTCCTACCTCGGTTCACGAGCCGACACCTCCGGCAGTCGTTGACGACTCCTCCCCGCCAATCTTCACGGTATAATTTCTAGGACCTTTGTTCGCTCTGTTACCTCGGCATGTGTGTCAAGTCGGTGGTCTGCCTATACACGCTTTTCTTAGCTTGGTGGGAAGGGCAACCGGCGCGACACCTATGACAAGGTAGGCGAGCGACCCTTGGTTCCAAATCCTGCCCTCGACGTGTGCGACGAGCCGGCTAACCACCTATACACGCTTTTCTTAGCGTGGTAGGTGGGAACCCAGTGCAATGCATACGACGAAGTTGGGATACCCATAAGTACCCGCTTGCGTGGAAACAACTGCTTTTTCTCTTGCAACAGGCACCGGTAGAAGACCCATACATGTTTTTCTTAGCGTGGTGGGAACAAAGACTTTACACGGCCGTGATGTCCTCGAAAGAGGGCACTTACCGTACACGCTTTTCTCTAGCGTGGCGGGAGGCCCAGTTTTCCGTGGTTTTTCCCCTAAAACGGGGGAGACGCCAGGAGGCTGCCGAAATTTCGGGTGTAATATTACTCTACTCGGACCTGTTTTGAAACTCTAAGAGAACAAAGATGTGGACTCAAGTTGAACATTTGAACTGGCACGAAGATCTGATTTGAACTATAAAGGACTTGTACTCGAACAAGAACAGAGGACTTGTGGACTTGAACTTGAACAAAACCCAAATGACTAATAAAAGGCCGAATCCAAGTGAAACAAAATCAGATTGGAACCAAAATTCAAGCCAAATCGAGTATTCAATTGAAATCAAAAGATCTCCAGAAGACTTTGAATAATCATTTGAACATACATTCAGACTCAAATTCAAAGGAAGTAAGTGCGGAAGACACTAAAATTGGACAAGACTCGGACTACAAGGGAGAAAGAAATAACCTTGCACACTGAGCTCATGAGGTTGATTCGAACTGGACTCAGACTTGAGTCAGATTCGACACCAATCAAACTACAACACCTCCTATGGATGTATTCAGTGTATGACACGACAAATGCAAATATCCGCAATCTACAGTAGAAGGCTCCTATGCATTCAACCTATGGCCTAAGCGAATGCAATTGTCCAACCACCTGAGGTTGGTGAAAATGTGGATTTGATGCAGGAGCAATGGTTCTTCTACAAACATTCATAGGAGCTCGTAGTAGATACAACAATCCCCACCAAGTCAATGCACTATAGAAACAAACAGTTGTAAGGTGTACGACTCCTACTCATGTATAACAACCAAAGATCTGCCCCTACAGCAGATGCAATCGTCCAACCACCCGAGATTGGTGAAAGGATGGACAAGGTGCAGAGACAATGGGTCTTCTACAAATACCTTCAGGAGGTTGTAGTTGATACAACGGTCCCGCACAAATGGATACTTGTGGATAACAACAGTGTGTATGTCATATGCACAACGAACCACTATGGACACAAGTACATCCCTACAACAATCTCTACGATTGCCTGCTGATTGAGAAGGCAATACGGGAGACCAATGACGGAGGACCCGTCCCTATAAGCAACTGCAAATTCATCAACAATACCACCTGAGATTGGTGAAAGGTGGATATGATGTAGGCAACAATGGGTCTCCTACGAATACTCCTAGGAGCTCGTAGTGAATACAACGAGTCCCCGTCAATATATACAAGTCGCTTGTGGACAATAACAGTGGGTATGTCGTATGTACAACGAACCACTGTGGACACAAGTATTGATATCACCTACAACATTGGTGATCAAGATCTTCAGGTATTTCGGGTACAAGGACGACTCGACATACAAAAAAGTACACCCCCTTGCAGAATCAGAAAGGGAGTTTGAACAAATTAGAACCAAACTTCCTGGTGTTCCAAAGTCTCTTCGTTGTTCTATACTTAAGGAGAAAATAGTTCTGGTGCCTCCGAACACTGGAAATAACAAGTCCACTACACCGAAGAGCTTAAAGGAAGTTCTTTACAAATCAGCAACAACTGGCTTTAAAGTCCAGAAGAAAGTCCCATCTCCGGTGAATGAGAAAGGGGGGAGTCAACATCAAGCTCTGAAATCAAATGTTGTGTATTCAAATGTCAATTATCTGCACAACTACAAATAACTTCAAAATACCCCTGCACGTACACTATAAATTGTATACACATAGGTACACTAAAGGGGTATATAAAAATCACCCGCATGGGCCCCGGCGAGCGTGTTATTGGTACACATGTGACGTCTAGGGATGCTGCGCAGGTTGACAAGTGAATCCAAGTTCGAACCGGATCCTTCTATACGGATTATAGGAGTCGACAGGGTTCAAACCTTTAAACAAATACATAGTTGTGGCGATCAGTGTATTTGTTTTAATACATTCATATTAGGCCTTCAAGACCTACAATCAAAAGAATTCACTAAACAAGAGGCACGAAGCCTATGAAACCCGATCCCCTATCAGTAAGTTGATAGGGTTGACAAGGTTTCATCAAAAGGAAATGACCCCAAACACCCCGATGTTGGCCGTGTTGAATGCAGATCTCAACCGGAGGGGTTTCCAAATATTTTCAAATGTCTCCCAAAAGTCAAAAGTTCCCAAATATTCCAAAGCTCCACCCAAATCCTTGAGATATGAATCAATAGGATATGATCGATAGGGCACAAAAGCCCTCTGTTAGCTAAGGTGAATTCAAATTTGTCCCCTTAGACAAACATTCAACCCCGGTCTACAAGGTCCCCTTGGACGAAGCAACCCATGGCTGCCAACAAGGATTTTTCTGTCAGGTTGGGTCGACTACCTCCTCTGACTAAGTAAACCAGGGACCACGATGGCCCGGGACGACGGAACCATGGGATCTTGATCGATTCCATCATCCATTCCCCCACCATCCGCTTTAAGTGCAAGATGGTGCAATTTCTGTTTTAAATATCAATTCCATCCAAATATCCAAACTTTCCAAATCCCCAAATTCAAACCCAATTTCCAAAATCTCTAAAGCCATGCTGCTACT